TATGTCGGACGTAACGATAACCCCTCTTTCAGTCCGTGTGGTTTTCTCTTCTCTATCCCCTTTAGTTGGCCTCAACTGGCGTTTCACATTAAAAAAAACCCCATCTCGACTCAAGTTGGCTCGGAGCCGCTCGGCGTGCTTTCGGATACTATCTGGCATGCCGTAGGCCCGTCGGGCCCGAACAAGGTACAGTTCTGTGCGCTTAGTGGACTCGTTTGCTTTGCCCCGATGCATTGGATTCGACAATGACGGCGCACTGGCAGGACTATGTGTATAATCTCGCTGCCGCTGTGCGAGCGCTTGCACCGGAAGCATATGACTCACATCTTTTCGCTCTCGAGGTGTGTTAATTCGCACGTTTTGCCTTCCTTTTGGCACCTCTGCGGGTGAATTGACAAGACATGCTGAATTGCTTCATTCCCGTAGGCACGACTGCGCGAGTTGGATCGCGCTTCGGCATCGACAGAAGATTCCGAGGCCTAGAAGAAATCTTTACAAAAACTACAGACACAGAATAAATATGCTGCGGCGATTTGAGTTACTACTGCGGTCACAGGTGTAAAGCCTTCGTATACTCTGCACATGCACCGCTCCCAGCATGTCATGAGCGTGGTGATCCAAACCGGATGCCTCCATATCCGATCCCTCTTGCGGCGAGGTCTCCGGCTTCTAAGAGCCCAGGCGACACTCCCAGCAGTGGCATGCGCTCATCGGAATTCGGGTTTGCCGGGTCGGTTCTACGCTCTCTCTCGACGATGCTACATCCATCGGTCACTATCTGTATGTAAGAAAGGGAAAAGACGCACCCCCGCATGACGGCGGCTGTGGTCATCCGCTTGGCTCGCCGCTTGGACTGGTTATCCTCATATTGGTCTGTCTCGTCAACGATCTCTTCAGAAATTATCTCCTCGATGATATCTGTACATGTGTCCATCCATCTTACCAGGAGCTTTCATTTGCATTCCCGCTACGACGTACCTTCAAGGGTTATAACCCCGATCGCACCACCAGCGATACCAGGTGTGTTGCTAATGAGCAAAAGGTGCGCACGACCAGTCTGGCTGAAGTGAATTCAGTACGTGGACGATGGATCGGATAGGGAGCATGCGCACAAGTAGTCTAGGGCCTGAAAACAGTTAATTGTAGGCCTTGCCTCTGGCAAGATGGAGAGGAGGAATTTGGACACAGGCCAGCATTGCGATGGATCATAAGTGAGAAGCTGTCAACGAAGTTGTTAATGCGTGGCCCAATAGCATAAATCGCTCCGGAACGTGGCCAACCTTCTTTACCAATAGCAAGCCGGAGAAGGCCAGCGGATTTCCTGGTTCGTGAACTGGGAAGCGAGAGTATCCACTCAATAGTCTATCCCTCGACGATTAGTAAACCATTTGACAATGAGTTTTTGGAGCAAGACGCACATGAATTCGATCGTCTTTGCATCCAAGATGGCGTCAGAACTAAGGGTGACAACGTCCTACGCACACCAACAGGCGGTCTTTTAACTGCTACCCCTATACCAGTGAACTCAGGCGCACCTTCATTGGGGTCATGATAGATTCAACCTTCTTTGAATTGAGTTCCAGTACGCCATTCAAAATGCTAATCTCATCATCGCGCAGCGGTTCTTCGCCTGTGCGGTGGAACTGTAGAAAAGACTTGAGCTCAGCTTTCTTGTATGTGTGAACATCGTTTTTGCCGAGGACGCGGTCGAGGATTTTCGCTATTGGCCAAGCAATTGGCGCTAGAAGCGTGCACCTGCGATCAGTTTCATGTGAAGGATGATAGAATCGAAAGGTTTTACCAAAGAGGTACATCGTTACGAGAACAATTGGTGTGCAACGTGCGCCGATGGATAGACCATAACGCACGCTGACGGCTTGCGGGATGATTCTATTACGACTTTCAGCTCTTGCTAGCAAGGGTCAAGACCCAGAAGGTACATACTCTCTGTTGCACGAGGATGCACAACCGACTTGGTAAGATACCATTCAAGAGACCCAGAGAGGGAAGAGCACCATACCCAAAGATAACTGTAATATCGATCAACGACTGGGCGCTGGATAAGGAAAAGAGATAGTACCAATCGCTGTTGTGGAAATAACGATGGCGGCGATCCCTCCGCCGATCTACATAGTTTAGAGCGTAATAGCAACGGATTGTGCACCATGTGCTCACTGCACTATCCAGAAAGATGGGCAAGCTCTCGTTTACGATCTACATTCCTCGTAAACACAGATCGGATGAAATCATTTAGTATGATACGCACGACGTTTCCGAGGAGCAAGACCTGTCATTGTCCGCACGTCAGAAAAACAAGAGCGCACTGGGAAGCGTTGGCCACTCACCACGAGTACCCAGTGGCGGCCCTTGTTGAGCAGTTTCAACACTAGAGACAGGGGATCAAAGATTTGGATTTGCCTCAACAACCCCAAGCCCAACGCAGCCGGTGTTTGAGGCGTACCTTGTGCGGCATTTTTCCTCTCCGTCTGGTCTTCGGATGACGTAGACAGCACTCGGAGGTGCAGCTCGTCGAGGCCCATGAGCCCGAGGGTTAACCTGTCGCGCGGAGATGGCGTATTCATCGGCATACACTTATTTTCCGCCACACACACGTAAAAGTGGACTAACCCTGAAAAAACACCTCCCAGAAGTACCAAGAAGATACTGATAATCATCTTGCCCCAAAACTCAGGGGAACCAAGTTCCTCGCCTACGCTGGGTGCCATGGTTTTAGGGGTTGTATTCGCGGAGAAGGGAGAGAAGTGGAATGATGGTAGAGTTGTCGTGAGAAGCATGGGAGTCAAGGGCAAGGGTGGTATTTTAAATGGCTCAATGGGCGCTGGCCAAGGGGCCAAGGGATTGCGGCTTAAACGCTCACTAGGAGGGTATCACCACGTGATGCGTGCAACCTCTTCTCTCCGCCACGGTTTATTTTTGATCCGCTCGATAATGCAATCAAACGTCAGGTCCGCATCGCCTCCACACGCGTCTCTCCAATCGCCGGACAAACGACCTCGTTCGATATCGCCGGAGGTTGCTCTCCAGGCGGTGACAAGATCGACTGCACCCAAACGGAGAAAGAAGCGGAAGCATACCCCGCCCGAGTCTGGGTCCTCAGAAGATGTCATCTCCAGGGAGGTGGTCGGGCTTCTAGGGAGCGAGCTCGTATCGAGGGCGGAGGCCGATGGTCTAGATTGGGAGTCACCCTTCGGCTTTAGGGAAGAAGTTGAGCTCACTGTATCCAGCATCTCGTCTAGTGGTACGTGTCTCTAGGTCTATGCAGACACCTGCTAGTTGTCTTAGTCTTGTTTTCTGTCCACTTCTGCGCCCCCTTTTTGGTACCTGTATGGTTTCTGACGAAGGATTACACGAACAGGAGAAGGACTTGCCCTTGCCCCGTCGTCGAAGCGTCCATGGGTCGTCGTCGTTCCGTTCGTTTTACCTGGAGAGGTCATTCGCGCTCGCGTATACAGGCACGCAAGGATGTACTCCTTCGCTGATCTAATCAGTATTGAAGTTCCAAACTCGGAACTGCGCGACATGGATCGTGTGCGGTGCAAGTACTTTGGGACATGCGCCGGATGCCAATACCAGGTAGGTCCTTCTCAGTATCCACGCAGAGCTCATCGCGCCTACCGTTCATGCATAGATGCTATCTTACGAGACGCAACTTGGTCTCAAGCGCAACGTGGTTGTGAATGCTTACCGGAACTACTGCAGTTCGCCACCTTTTACTTTCCTCCCCTGCTCGAATAATGATGACATAGTCAGACATCCCCGAATCATCGATACCCGTTATACAATCAACGATCCCTTCCCCTCTCCAATATGGCTATCGCACCAAAATTACACCACATTTTGAACCTCCGCCCAAAAAGTTGCAAAAGGAAGCACCAACCCCTAGTGAGGAGGAAAAGCCATATTGGTTGAAGATTGGTTTCAACCAAATCGGCAAGCGAGTCGTGATGGACATAGAGGTACGGTCACATTCATTGCAACTGTAGTCCAATCATCGGATCTTGTGATTTACAGGAATGCCCCATCGCTACTCCGGTTCTGAATGAGGCTTATGAGCCAATGCGAGACGACATCGCAAAGTAAGTATCCTTGACTACACTTCTCCTCTTTTGCTGAATCTTCCCCGAACAGGAAAATATACGGTTACAAAAAAGGCGTGTCTCTCCTGCTCCGCGACTCCCTCGAGATTCCAGGTGGAAACTCTCCTGTTGCCACCACCGAACTTGCTGTCCAAGACCATCATGTCTGCATCACTGATCACAAAGCGACCGTCCGCGAACGAGTCGGGGACTTGCTCTTCGACTACCAAGCTGGCTCTTTCTTCCAAAATAACAACTCTGTCCTCGTCCCGCTCACCTCATACGTCCGCGACGCTATCTTTCCATCCACGGCCGCGTCCGCATCAAGCACCCTTCCCCCGACACACCTCGTAGACGCTTACTGCGGCGCGGGCCTCTTCGCGCTCACACTCGCCCCGCACTTCACACAAATCGCCGGCATCGAGCTCTCCGCGGACTCGATCCGCTTTGCAACGCACAACGCAGCACTCAACGGCCTCGCGCACAAAGTGTCTTTCCGTGCGGGCGACGCAGCTCAAATATTTAGCGCCGTCGCCGACTTTCCTCCCGCCTGCACCGCGCTTGTCGTAGACCCGCCACGTAAGGGGTGCGACGAGGCATTCATACGACAGTTGCTCGGGTTTCGAGCGCAGACCGTCGTGTATGTGAGTTGTAACGTGCACACGCAGGCGAGGGACGTTGGGCAGATCGTCTCTTGGTCTGCTGACGAGGTGGCGGAGGGGAAGGGGAAGTACGTGCTGGAAAGTTTGAGGGGCTTTGATTTGTTTCCGCAAACGGCACACGTGGAGTCCGTCGCTGTCTTGAGGCTTGTGTTGTAAGCGTTGTGATTAAGTTACAACATTTGGAGAAGTCGCACATTTGCTCGAATTAGTCTCATATGAACTTGAATGTTAGAATCATTAGTCGGATATGGTGTAACGGCTAACATTACCGCCTCTCAGTCCTGTGCGCGGTAGCTCGGGGTTCGACTCCCCGTATCCGAATTACTTTTTCTCCTTCGTCTCATTTGTATTGTTTCTATTGTTTCTCAATGTAACAGCACTCCAGGTATTCTAGGCGTTGATAAACTATGTGCAATGCTTTGTGGGGCCTGTGCGTTCAACTTTTTAATCGGATATGGTGTAACGGCCAACATTACCGCCTCTCAAGGAGTTCGCTCCTGTACGCGGTAGCTCGGGGTTCGATTCCCCGTATCCGAATTAGTTTTTCTCGCCTAGTTCTATACAGCTGTACTGTACAGTACAGTCAGCCGATCCTTAACCGTGCACATCGACAACGGAGCGCGACATTTTGCTAAAACCTCAACTGCGCCAATGATTCGAATGCAAGACCAGTCATCAGTCTCGACGCTTTCACGTTTGCCAAGTGCTCATCAGACGCATCTTTTCGACTGCATCCAGATTTGTACCTTGGGCCAAAGTTCGACAGAACGTGCCGAACGTGTGATTGGAGACATTCACCTTCCTGCCTTTGATGAGGAAAATTCCGTGGGGGACTAAGATCATGCAGATCCTCTACTGCAAGATAGTGCGTTTGATGCTCTTAGTCCAAGACAAAGTCGAGGCAAATACGAGGAATAGGCCTACTAATCATTGATACATGTGGTCAGCTGCGAGGTTACAGTTCATCAAATACCTGGACTAAACAAGTTTCTCTGCGATCGAAGGATGTCATTAATCTCGGGACTCGGAGTGACATGACGAACCAGACGATCTTGTAGGCCCAAATTCCGAGTCGTGTTCGGTGTAATTTGGACTGGGTGAGGTGGGACCGTGGGGCGCAAATCGGCCCGACGCGAGCACAAACAGGCACTGGCCCCACTTGCCAACGCTGGATCCTACAGCCACCGTCATCTGTTAGTGCACGGTGTGGCCATCTCCGTGCACAGCAACTGCACAGGTGCTTCTTCTGGCTGTCCACATGGTGGGGTGGGCCATAAGCGGCCTGGGCGACTCTACAAACAACACCCCAACCTTGACTGCATTCCTTCGACCATGCGGCAGTCTGTGCCTCTCCAATGGCACAACACATCCTTGTATTTTATCCTACCACATCAAACATGTCATTGGCTGGGAAAACGGTCCGTGAGCCCCCGAACTTGTAAGTCACGGGTCGCAGGTGTCAGCTTGGCGGTGCAAATTCTTCTGCAAATTGGAATCAAGGTTACCAAATCCAAATTGGACCGTGGCAACACCGCGGCTACGGAGTGAGTACTCGTGAGTAACCCAATGCGATTAGATTCCCCAATCCGGGAGGGACAAGGATGGCTGTTCTCGCCTTGGTTCTCGCGTCCTTGGAGCGCAGCCTAGGATCCCAATCTCAACTACAACCACAAAGTCGTCGAGATATGCAATCCAAGTCGTCAACTTTCAAGAAAGTCTTTCGCAGGGCCTTTCCTGCTAGGACCGACCAACCACACCGTGAGTAGTTGTACTTCTCTCACTTGACGTCCTCCAACTGACTCATTAAGCGGTTCAGCCTGCTGCAGCTGCCCATCTCAACCCTGCGTTATCACATCCAGTCGGGGAAGCGGAAGACACCGCGAGGAGCGCTATCGAGGCCTCTATGGCGGCTCTGAGTGTGGCAAGTGCCCTGGCCAAGAAGGTCCCATTCATCTCCCCCGTGGCTAGCCTCCTCCTACAAGCGCTCACCATGCGGAGTGTAAGTGTCGGGTTAACCTTACAAAGACCTTTATCTCGCTGCTATGTTATTGTAACAAGAAGTAAAGCAGTACAAGGAAGAGTGGGATGTAGTCATGATCAAAGTCGAGCAAGTCGCCGACGTGGTGGACAACGTCGGAACGCTTTGCCAGAAATATAACCTGGAAGAGAAAGATCTTCCGTTTGGCCTTCACGGGATCTTTCAGTCCCTTAAGACGTATGCTATACATTCTTCATATTCCTAACTGTGGCTCATTATGCTCCAGTGAACTGGATGGAATCGAGAGTGCGCTTACACAGAGCAAGGAAATCGGAAGCGTCAAACAGGTCCTTTTGCGCAAGGACTTGCTGCTGAAGGTCAAGCAGTACGATGGCATGCTTTCGAATGTGCTTCAACGATCGCAGGTTTGTCGTCAGTTCACTATCCCGGTCACTCTCCTGACTCGTCGCCTGCAGGTCACGCTGGCTTTAGACGCACGTTTCGCGCAACTCGCTTATCAGAAAGAACACAGGGTACGCATCTTGCCAATGTCAAATCATTATGATCAATTGACGTCTTCGACAGGTCACTCAAAGTATTCCACCTGCTCCTTTGCGCTCCTCTGATGTGGCAATGTTGGCGTCTAGAACCTTTAGGGCAGCATGCCGTACCATATCCGACTTACGGCCATATACTTTCCAGGTGTCATATGGTTCAAGACTCGCCGTAGCCGTAAGGATAGGGTGAAGAAAAAAAGTAGGTACAGTACGGAACGGGGCATTATACGGACAATGTAGATGTTGTAAAGTTCCATCCAAACGCGGCAATGCCCAGATCTAGATATGTCACGGGTTACGCTCGCAAGTACGAGGATGGTAAGATCGCGCAGACCCTATACAAGATAGAGGATCATAGAGCGCCATGATGCTCTCCGTCGAAAACAAATACCGAGGCAACTGCGAGGAGCGAGGCCATACTAAACATTTCATACATACGTGTGGTTGGCTGTGAGTTCGTGAGATACCTGGATGATATAAGGTTCTCTGCAAACCAGACAAGCTTGGGCCCTAATTTGGGTGGTCGGAGGGCCAATCGGGGAGTGCCGATGTGGGACAAGGATGGCCGCTTCTGGGAACTGACGCGTCCTAGGATCCCAACTACAACTACAACTACAACCACAAAGTCGTCGAGATATGCAATCCGAGTCGTCAACCTTCAAGAAAGTCTTTCGCAGGGTCCTTCCTGCTAAGGTAGACCAACCACAACGTAATTGTATTTCTCGTACTTGACGTCCTCCATCTGGCTCATCAATGGGCCCTACACAGCTGCCCATCTCAACCCTGCCTTATCACAGCCAATCGGAGGAGCAGGAGACACTGCGATGAGCGCGATCGAGACCTCTCTGGCGGCTCTGAGTGCGGCAAGTGCCCTGGCTGCGAAGGTCCCCTTCATCTCCCCCGTGGCTGGCCTCCTCCTACAAGCGCTCACCATGCGGGGTGTAAGTGCCGGATTAACCTCACAAGGACCTTCATCTTACCGCTACGTTAACAGGAAGTAAAGCAGCACAAGGAAGAGTGGGATGTGGTCATGGTTAAACTCGAGCAAGTCGCTGACTTGGTGGACAATGTCGGAACGCTTTGCGAGAAATATAATCTGGAAGAGAAAGATCTTCCGTCTGGCCTGCAGGGGATCTTTCAGTCCCTCAAGACGTATGTTATACATTCTTCATATTCCTAACTATGGCTCACTGTACGGACTTCAGTGAACTGGATGGAATCAAGAGTGCGCTCAAACAGAGCAAGGAAATGGGAAGTTTCAAACAGGTCCTTTTGCGTAAAGACTTGCTACAGAAGGTCAAGCAGTACGATGGCATGCTTTCGAATGTACTTCAAAGGTTCCAGGTTTGTCGTCGATTCACTATTCTGGTCACTCTCCTAACCAGTCACCTGCAGTTCACGCTAGCTTTGGATGCGCGTTTCGCGCAACTCGCTGATCAGAAAGGACATAGGGTATGCATCTTGCCAATATCGATTCATTACAATCAATTGACGCCTTCGACAGGTCACTCAAGGTGTTCCACCTGGTCTTTCGGGCTCGTCTGATATAACTATGTTGGTGTCTAGAATGTTTACGCTTGACTGTATACTGATGTTACGCAGATTAATGCCCCGGGGACCGCGTTCACCTCAAATATTTTTTGGACGTGATTCCGAGCTCTCGGAGATCATTCACATGATTTTCACCCATGTTAACTCTCGTCCTGCTCGCATCGCAATCCTCGGGCCTGGGGGTTATGGCAAGACCACCCTCGCGAATGCGGTGCTCACCCATCAACGTGTTCAAGAGCACTTCGGGGATGCTAGGTATTTTGTCGCCTGCGAATCGGTCTTCTCAGCTGGCGCTCTCGTAATCGAGCTTGCGAAAACCCTCGGTCTCTTGGACATGGCCACAGATGCTTCTTGGTCTCGTATATGTTCTGTGTTGGACGCAAAGGACTGCGTTGTTTGTCTTGATAACTTTGAGTCCCCGTGGGACCAGGACGGGGACATGAGATGCTCTGTTGAAGAGCTGCTATCCAGAATTGCTGAGCTTCGGCGCACCACCCTGCTGATCACGATGCGGGGCACAGTGCGACCAGCCCAGACTCAGTGGACCAGTCCGCTCTTGCACCCATTAGTGACCCTGGATCGTGATGCTTCGAGACGTGTCTGGGAACACGCAACAAACTGCTATGATAGCTTTGCAGAAGAACTTATAAATGCAGTGGATTATGTTCCTCTTGCTGTTAGCCTGCTGGCCCACCTTGCTCAGGCCACATCAGCAGAGTTATTGTTAAAAGAGTGGAATGAAAAGCGGACAAAGTTTGTCTACACGAGTCAGACAAATAAGCAGTCAAATCTTGACTACTCAATCCAACTATCTATTGATAGTGGCAGGATGAGAGCTAATCCATCTGCCAAAGATATGCTTGGAGTGCTTAGTATGCTGCCAGATGGAATACATATGAAGCAGATGGACAAATTTAAAAAGATCCTTTGCAATATAGACATGTTATCAGGCCTTTGCACCCTTCAGGAGTGCAGCCTAATAGGTGTGGTTGGAGAGAGATATCAAACTCATCCAATCATTTGTGACTTTTGTGACCATCATGACTTGATATCTTGTGAACATAAGAATGTTCTTAGAGATTTCTACATTAAACTTGCATCTACTAGATCATCTAAAGCACATGCCAGCAGCTATGCTGAGATGGTGTTGGAAGTAAACAACACAAAGGTCATCCTAGTTGATGTCTTAAAGTCAGACTTTCAAGGTCATTCAGAGCTTGCTCAAGCTGTCTGCA